CTAGTCTTTGAGGGGGATGAAGGACAGTTGATATAACGTGACGTAGTAACACACGACGTGCATGCGTATGTGTACATGCACGAATCTCGTGCTTTCCATAGTAGAAGGTGAGTTTATTCTTGGCTAGATCAACAGGTTGGGTGACGCAAAACGACTGCGTGGCGCAAGGTGAGCCTAGGCCGTTTCGAGGTGAAAGGAGCCACTGGCGATCCTCGAGGTGGGCGAAAAGGGGGTTGCTGGATATTGGTGTTATCGGGTGGGTGGTCGTCGGCTGCCGGTTGGCAAGGGGTAGCCAGGAGCAAGGACTGGGTGGTTCTCTGACGTCGTAGTGACGTAATGCCACGTGCTGGGGCTGGCTACACCTACCTTCACCACCCACTGACCTCATCTGCCCTAGGATTGACATTGACATTGGTCGCATCGATCTGTGCACACGGCCGTGGGGCCGGCGGGTCTCCGGTGCTAAGAGGCTCCGAGCCTCTCGACTGTTTCATCAACGATGCTATTCAATTAGGGCTGGTTAAAGCTTTCTTCGGACTCGATCACGACGCTTTGACGAGGAAACTACCTTTCGCGGGTGTATTCGATCACTCAGTTTCGACCTTTGACCTTTGAGTCGCAGGGGGAGGTTATTGGTAATTTTTAATTCTTCGACGAGAACAATAACAAAGTTTTGCCAGTTAATGGTTGACGGCTATCGGAGACACCGGACGAGGGTGATCCGTTAAGTAGGGCTGATGATGATGACCGTGCATCTGTTAAGGGTTGGAAAGACGCGAGGACCTCGATCGGACCTTCGACCGCTGGCCTTGCTCGTAATAAAACCCGCGTAAACGACCCTCCGAATAACCTCGTAACCGTCTCACCACCTACGCTTCTCTTGGTCCCTTATTATTCCCGTAAAAGCCACCCTCGCCGCCTAACCTTTCTCTAACGTTCTGTCCGCTGGGAGAGATCTACCACCCTTCTTCAGCAGCACCACCACCACCACCACTACCCTCTAGTGGCACAACTGCCAACCCAGTCCCTATTCACCCCCTCTGCCGCTACTTTTCTCATCCCTCCTCCCTCCCCCCCCCCCCCCCCCCC